ACATTCTGTTTGATTTTAATAAGCCAATAATGTAACCTAGTAACTTATTTTTTTAAGAATTCTTTGTGTACGTATGTACGTCATTGGGAAATAGTTAAATAGCTTCAACCGAATATTGTTTGTATTAGAATAAAAATACGCATATGAGTGACGTTGTGTAGGTGAATGAGACTATAAATTTCGTTTGATTTCGACAACTTCTACACAAACTCACACAGAAGTAGAAAAACGGTTCATATTAACAGCTGAATAATAAATAATCGAATATGAAATTGTTAACTGTTATTAATGGATGCATCTTAGTCGTAGCTTGCATACTTTATATTGCTAGTAATGCGGTTCCATCATGGTATGTATACTTTCATTCATTCTTTCTCAATCAAAAATATTCAAAGAATAATCGAAAAAAACAAGATATAAGTTCTAATAATTCTTATACTTTATGAATGAAACAACTTCTGGAAGTACTACTACTGCATATGGCTTATGGAAAACTTGTTACTCATATTCTGGTGTAACAACCTGTAATAATATCAACTGTCCAGCAGTGACTGATGATAACGGTTTCTGTAGTAGAATAATGGTTAGTAGAGCTTTCATGACATTAGCTTGTATTTTATCTGGTATTACAGCTATATGTCTCTTTATATGTGCATTTATCGATGAAAAGAAAAGTCGAATATTCTCACTAATAACTACAGCACTTGCTTCTGTATGTTTGATTATGGCAATCATAGGAGTAGCTGTTGGCGGCAGTATCCAACAAGCACTTTATCCAAATAGTAGTCAATTGAATTTCGGTACAGGTTTCATAATAGGAGCTGTAGCAGTTGGCATCAATTTTATTGGTACTATTGAACGTTGGACTATGAAAAAGTCAGAAAAATAAAAAGAACAAAAAAGGACGTTTTCGTTTCACTATTTCCTGAATTTTTGTAGTGAACATTTCATTTTTCTTATGATTTCTTATCTTTACTTTTAATCTAGATTCATCTAATAAACTCGATTAATAACTTAAAATTCAGCTAGCTGATGTGCTAAAAATTTATTAGAACAAAGAAAGACAACTGATTTTAAATAATAAACTATTCTCAGTTCATAACACGACTGAAATAGATTCAATTAAAAACAAAAATAATCATTCAGAATTATAACTAGATTTCGACGCATCTAAATGAATCTTGAAAGAACGTATTTTTTTTCGTTTACTCACATATAGATTCAGTTCAATTACATTATTCAAAAAAGGTATTTGCATCGTTATCTAATATTCAAAATATAATCCAACTGCTCCTACAAATGAAATTAGGAATAGGATGTTTTCTGATCTTATAAGCATCACGTAAATATTTAATATATATGTATATTTTTTCCTCAATATTTAAAAGATTGACTATATTATATTTTCGTTATTCCTTGTATATACTGAAAGGACTCGTCCTAATGCTACTTTTTGCAGAGAAACAAACACAGTAAGTTTCTGTGAAAATGACATTATCGTATTTTCTATTTAAAAATATTTTTTGACATCTCAATAAAAGAGAAGTTTCGCGAGCTTTTTTTAAGTGATCTCACGTACGGTTACTTTCTCATTATGTTCTTTTTATTATTATTGTGATGTTATTGTGTATGTATTCCATTTATATTCTCTTTTGTTCTGCTGTCATGAACGTACGCTCTTCTCTTATAATATGTTTCAGTATATTTCTACTTTCTTTATAAAAATCACGTATTTTCGTTTTCGTATTCTTGAATAAGTTCTCTTCACTTTGCTACGATCTAGTAAATTCTTTCCTCATCTTTATTCTTGTAATAGCAAACATTTCATACAAATGATAGAATAATATTTCTTTTTGAATATTTTGGTCCTATCATGAACAACTTTTATCATTGAATATACATGATAATCTATTATCTACGTTTGTTCATTGATTGATAAGTGAACTGACGAATGCATATTGCGATTGTTAATTGGCATTACAATGGAATAGCGTTATTCGTATAGATAACAAAATAAATTGTAAAAAACAATAGATTCTTTTCAGTTTGTCTCATTAAATCAGGGATATTATGAACAGTCATTGTCGATATTTGTTGATATTAAAAATGTGCATAAATTCAAATATATCTATATAGAACTCGAACATGGGTCATTGGTAGGTTCTGTTAGATCTATTCTTCTTTTGATTAAATAGTTTATTTCAGGAGTAATAAGTTTAACTACTAACTAATCACACACACACATAACGTAAAAACATGATCTTTATATATATATAGACTATTTGGATATTTCCATATATTATATCATAGGAAAATACCTGAGTTATATCTACGACACCTTATACTAGGAAAAGACCAACAGAACATATCGAGGCTACACAACAGAACGAAAGAAAGGTCACATACACGCACATATAGAAAAAAAAGAAAAGAAAATATATGGGATAATTCCTTGTGAAATATAATAAGGAATATTCCATAACAGATTCGAATGACAAAATAAATTCTCTTCTCATTCCTTCTTTTACCAATATATATATATATATATATGAATCGTTGAAAGTATTAAATAGAAAAGTAAAAAAAATCTTATTTAACATTGAAAACTTCTTTTCGATACACAATGAAGATGAAATTCGAATTATTACCAAATGAAATATTTATTGAATGTTTTCAATATTTGAATGCACCAGATGTATTCTATTCATTTGATCGGTTAAATGATCGTTTTTATACACTTGTTCGAACTATTCCATTGTGGTTGAATTTTGAAAAATTCAAAAAATCGAAATTTAATCAATTTTGTCAAATAATATTATCCAATCCAGAATTAAAACATCAAATAATTTCATTAAAATTATCAAATAACGGTACACGTGGTCAAACTGGAGAATTTCTTTCTTTATTTCCATTAAATGAATTTATTAATCTTCGATCATTATCATTAATTGATTTAAAAGAGGAAAATGTTGAACAGTTGAGACCGATGTTAGCATTATTATCTAATTTATACTATTTTTCTTATACTGATTTGGAATATTATATTTTAAAAATACTATCTATGTTATTAACATCGAAATTACGAATTTTATCAATACCAGTATTTGAATATAGCACATCTATTTTGGAACAAATGTCAATTACGTCATTGACAATTTCTTCTTGTAGCTGGAATACATTATCTGAAGTATTGGAATATGCATTGGCACTGAACTATTTAAAAATTGAACGCCTATATAATGATGTGGGTGGAGATTATCCATTGAATTATTTTACTAAAAATGCTGTTCGTTTAAAACAATTGATTATCAATGATTGTGAAGCTGACTTTGAAATGATTGAGAAACGGTTAAAGAGTACACCTAATTTGACAATTTTTACAATAAAAACTAATATTTATGCGAGCGTGATTAATGCTGATCGTTGGCAACATTTAATTGAATCTTCATTATTACACTTACGTGTTTTCAATTTCTGTTTTAGTTGTTTTATCAGTACAGATTCTTATAATGACATGCTGAACAAATTTCAACAATTTCAAACTAATTTCTGGTCTAAACAACATCATTGGCATACGAATTATGAACATAATGAGCGTTCAGCATCAATCCATACTATGCCATATGTATGGAATAAATATACATTAGTAACTTCCAGCAATAATTATGGTAATTTAAAAGGATTTGATAAAGTTACTGAGTTAGTTTTATCACAAATGACAATTAAATATAATTCACCATATTATTTTAATAATGTTAAATCATTAGAATTAATAAACGAAGATCATTTTGATATACATCCGGATGAGTACATGTTACAGAAAGACCAAATAAAATTTTTAAATAATATTGTTAATTTATCAAATATTGAACATTTAAAAATTCCAGAATCAGATTACATATCATCATCATCATTATTATTAGAAATATTAAAAGAATTACCAAATGTATCATCATTAGAAATTAATAAGCGTAGTTTAATATTATTTGTTAAGGATCATGAATTACGTAAATATTTAAATACAAAGATTACTACATTATATCTAAATAAAAAGACTGCTACAAAACGTTTATACACTTTTGGATCCCGTGTTGAGTATATCCAATATGAAGAAGTAGGTTTACTTCTTCAGGCATTTTCAAATCTCGAACAACTTTATTGTAACTTCCAATACTTTATTCATTTATTCTTAGTATTAGAAAAATTTTCAAAATTATCAATAATAACCAGTCGATATATAACCAAAGAGGTGCATTCATGGATTCGAGAAAATGCATCGAAATTCGATGTATACATTGATTTTTGTGAAATTTATAATGATTATGATGATGATGATGATGATGATGAATTAGATCTCTAAATGTAAAATATTTTCATTGGAAGAAACAGCAATTGATCATATTGTATATTTTTTTATTGTTAATCATTTTCGTTTTTTTTTCTTCATAACATATGAAACTTTTGATATCTATACCGAATAGAATGTATATTTGAAATAAACATGTAAAATTATACCAAATGACATCGACCATTGTGAATTTAACTTAATATAAATTTTTTTAGAACAGCTATCTGGCTTCGATTTAAATATGAAATCTAGTTCACGATTGCGCCGCTGTTTGAATCATGATACGAACAAAGAAAAAAAATGAATGATTTTATCTCGATGGATGCTTTGAAAATCGTAAAAGTCAGCTAAGATACCAATTTTAGAGCTTTCGCCATTTAAGATTGGATTCCCACATCAGTAATTAGAATAATTTTCGTGGTCGATTAAATTGTAAGGAAGCGCCTTTATCATTGATTGCACGTCTCAGACTTCAAAAACTGATGTTTTTCAGAAAATAGTTTGAGAAGCTTTCTTTATACAACTAATTTATTTCCTATAATCTTGAATTCGAAACACAAAAAAAAATATTTATCTGTAGCTAATTATGTTTTAGAGTGAAATCACATCACCTACCCTCGAATTAAGAATATGCAATGGACATGACTGAATAGTCGAAAAAGATCTTGCATTGATTGAATCTTCTGCATTAGATATATGTCTCATCATAAAATCATATGATAACACTCGACAGAACAGAGACACATCATTTTTATTGTCAAAGAGAAAACAAATAAGTTCAATCACGAACTGGATTTGATTCTCAAACGATTATAATTCCTTTCGTATAAAAAAATTCGTTGAGTTCAATAAATAATTGAAATGGTAAACATTACTCGTATTATACATGGAAAACTAGTAAACAATGATAAAAATGGATAATGGATGTATTTCTTCATTCTTAGCTATTGCAAATAGAATATAATTATTTTCAAATAGTCATTTTGTTATACGATAATAGATTCGAAAAGGACCTGATATTCTATAAAGAAAATGATGTAGTGCGTATAAACTAAAAAAATTTAAATAATATAAACTAATATAGTATATTTTTGTTTACAGTTAAATAGCCACTTAATGTTATTGATGAATAGAAACCAATACTTTGAGAGTATAAAATTTTTTCAAGATCTATTGTATGACCAGCTATGATTAACTGATGTTCAAGTGTTACTTATGAAGTACATATAATTTTTATTTTATTTATATTCCTAGTAATGACTAATGAAGTCTATAAAATGTGAATATGTAGAAATAGGCTATATTTAAATTATTTTTGTCAATCTAAATTTGGAGTTATACAAACTTCGAGTACTTGATCCGAAGTGTGGTATAGTAAAATGAGTATTCATCTTTCTTGAGTGATGTTCGTTTTTAGAGAATGTATAGCTTGCAGTATTAAATAAAATGTCTTCTCACAGAATTGTTCTACTACGAAAAAAACTAGATCTGGTTTATTGTTTGTGAACTTCGAATTTCAAATAGATTTTTGGATAAAGTGCTGCCCTTCGAACAACAAGATGATGGATGAATCCAAACTGAACAATTTGTGAACGCCAAGAACTAAGCCTTCTTCTTCGGAAGTGACGCAGCACAGATAAGATGCTAGTTTTGATATTATTCTAAATAGTATATTTTTATGTATGTTTTTGTTGAAATTCAGATAAGTCTAAAGTCGAGTTTACGCACAATAATATATCTACCATTACTTAATAACTTGAGAAGTGACTCTCAGTCACCTAAAATTTTGGCTAAAATAGATACTTGCTTGTTAATTAAAGCGACGAGTAGTTGTGCATGTTTTCTAGCAAAGATCTTTACAAGTTGCTGCTTAGTCCACTCAACCATGTTCATTAGTTGAGATAATATTCAAGGACCTTTCAGAATCATAAATCTTGAGGGTAGGTGGGTGTGAATCTTAGTAAGAATGAAGAAGAAATAGTCACTTACACTATCACCTACACCTAACCCTCAGGATTTTTCTATAGTAAAGAGTATTAACTAAATATATCTATAACTGTTAGTGCTATATACATTGTTCCTTACACGTCTATTCACATGCATGACAAAACACACTAAATTTCTATTCATTATTACAATCTGTATCATAGACTGATATGTGCTTTATAGTGAAACACAATACAATATATTTTAGTTGAACTACATACAAGATATATGTTATATCAACTAGTGGTGTGGGAATTAAATTAAATTTATAATTTGCAATGATATATACTAAACGATTTTAGAGAAATAATCTATATGCAAGTTCATCTACATCACAAAACTTTGAGAAATTCTGTAAAACTGAAACAATCCTACTCAGTTCGACAATACTGAAGACAGAATCTTCTCCAGTTCTGCACTATCAAAAAACATTTTTCATCTATCAAAACTATTCAATGCCAAACATTTTACAATTAAGCATTATCGAAGAAAAAAATTTTAGTTCATTATCATTGGGCAAAAGCGGATACCTCATTAATACTGAAAAATAACTTAGAGTTTTCCTATTCTTATATAGAATCTCAACCTGGTTTCGCATATGCTTCAGACCCAAATAGTGATTTTCTAAGACCAGCGTAATTTTCTTGCATTAGCATCATCCCCATCGTTATACACATTAAGTTTCAGAACATCAATGGTTTTATTTAATACTTTCGTCAAATTTTAAATACAAAAGAAAATATGCGGATAATCATCGTTAGCTATTCATTGCTCATCCAAATACATTTAATATTAGAAATCACAATTTGCTTTCTCTTTCATTCCGTTCAACAAAGTCCTCAATCCATTCCATCATGTCATCATTGATTTTATTATCTTCGAGATATAACGCAGTGAGTGTCTACACAAAAAAAGGAGATAAAGGTATGATATAGCTGGCGAGCAAATCAAAATTACTGTGTTGTATCTTAATGCATCACGCAGATGTTGGGCTCCGACATCTTCGATTTCATTATTGTCAAGATTTAATGTGGTGAGTGTCTAGATGGAAAAGTGGATGCAAATATATGGTACAGATGAGGAGGGAATGACAGTTACTGTGTTATGCTTTAATGCATCACTCAAATATTGGGTTCCAGCATCTCCGATTTTATTAGTTCCGAGATCTAGGGCAATGAGTGTCTAGATAAAAAATTATAGGTCAAGATATTGTGTGGATGAAGATAGAGTAGCAATTACTGTGTTGTGCTTTAATGCATTACCAAAATGTTCTGCTCCAGCATGTCCGAAGTCATTACCTGCAAGATCTAGTGTGGTGAGTGTCTAGACGAAAAATTACAGATAAAGATATTGTATAGGTGAAGAGGAAATAACAATTACTGTGTTGTGTTTTAATGCATCACCCAATTGTTGGGCTCCAACCACTCCGATTTCATTAAATCCAAGATTTAATGTGGTGAGTGTCTAGATGAAAAAGTGGCACTAAATATATCGTATAAATGAAGAGAGCAGGACAATTACCGTATAGTGCTGTAATATATCAGCGAAACGTTGGACTCCATCAATTTCGATTTCATTATGTTCAAGAATTAGTGTAGTGAGGTTCTAGATGAAAAAGTATAAGTAAAGATATTGTATATATGAAGAGGAAATAATAATTACTGTGTTGTACTTTAATGCATCACCCAAATGTTGTGCTCCATCATCTCCAATTTCATTCGATGTGAGATCTAGTGTGGTGAGTGTCTAGGTGAAAAACTACAGGTAAAGATATTGCATAGACGAAGAGAGAATAACAATTACTCTATTGTATTGTAATCCGTGAGCCAAAAGTTGTACTCCTACATCTCCAATTTGGTTTTCTGAGAGATTTAAAGTGATGAGTGTCTAGTTGAAAACGTGGAGGCAAATATATGGTACAGATGAAGAGAGAATGATGATTACTGTGTTGTGCTTTAATGCATCACTCAAATGTTGGGCTCCAATATCTCCGATTTTATTGAATGCGATATCTAGTGTAGCGAGTGTCTAGATGAAAAAATACAAGCCAATATATTGTATGGATGAAGAGAGAATAACAATTACTATGTTGTGTTTTAATGCGTCTCCCAAATATTGTGTTCCAGCATCTCCGATTTTATTATGTCTAAGATTAAGTATAATGAGTGTCTAGGTGAAAAAGTAGAAGAAGATACATAGTATAAATGAAAAGAGAATAACAATTACTGTGTTGTGCTTTAATGAATCACTCAAGTGTCGAGCTCCAGCATCTTCAATATTGTTATATTGGAGATCTAGTGTGGTCAGTGTCTAGATGAAAAATGATAGATCAAGGTATTATATGGATGAAGCGGAAATAATAATTACTGTGTTATGCTTTAATGAATTACCAAAATGCTGTCCTCCATCAGCTCCGATTTTATTAGGTCCGAGTTCTAGTTTGGTGAGTGTCTAGATGAAAAATTGTAGGTCAAGATATTATATAGATGGAAAGAAAATAACAATTACTGTGTTGCGCTCTATTGCATCACTCAAATATTGTGCTCCAATATCTCCTATTGAATTGTAGTTAAGATCTAGTGTGTTGAGTGTCTAAATAAAAAAGTGGATGCAGATATATGGTACAGATGATGAGAGAATGATAGTTACTGTGTTATGCTTTAATGCATCACCCAAATGTTGTGCTCCAGCATCTCCGATTTTATTCGATCTGAGATTTAGTATAGTGAGTGTCTAGATGAAAAATTACAGGTAAAAATATTGTATATATGAAGAGGAAATAATATTTACTGTGTTGTGCTTTAATGCATCACTTAAATGTTGTGTTCCAACATCTCCGATTTTATTCCCTGCCAGATCTATTTTGGTGAGTGTCTAGATGAAGAAGTGCAAGTAAAGATATTGCATAAATTAAGAGAGAATGGCAATTACTGTGTTGTACTTTAATAAGTCACTTAAATGTTGCGCTCCATCAGCTTCGATTTCATTACATACGAGCTCGAGTGTGGCGAGCGTCTAGATGAAAAATTATAGGTCAAGATATTGTATAGATGAAGAGAAAATAATAATTACTGTGTTATGTCGTAATGCATCACCCAAACGTTGTGCTCCAATATCTCCTATCAAGTTGTTGTAGAGATCTAGTGTGACGAGGTTCTACATGAAAAAGGGAAGGTAAATATATGTTACAGCTGAAGAGAGAAGAGCAATTACTGTGTTGTGCTCTAATGCATCAGCCAAATGTTGGGCTCCCACACCTCTGATTTTATTGGACCCAAGAATTAGTGTGGTGAGTGTCTAGAAGTAGAATTACACGTAAAGATATTATATAGATGAAGAGAAAATGATAATTACGGTGTTATGTCGTAACGCATCACCTAAACGTTCGGTTTCAACAACCCCGATTCCACTGTTGGAGAGATTTAGCTTAGTGATTGTCTAAATGAAAAAGTGCTGACATAGACATGATAAAGAAGAAACGAAAGAATAGCCGGTTGCTGTTATCTGAGATCAGAGTAGTAAAATGAATATTACTCTGATATCGTGCCAGAGCTTATGGTTATCAACGTGAAAATATCTATGATTTTACATACTGTGTAGTTTTCGAAATTGTCTGTTGAAAATCTGGTGTGAAAAAAGTTTCTGAGGGCTGTGAATGCTTAATGTGTTACCTGTTAGTTTCTGTAATTGTGAGATGTTTGTGAAAAAAAGAAGAAATTTTCTTGTTAATGAATAATCATTTGTAAATTATTTTTGTACAGAACAATTTTGAAGCTCATTTTTAATATCAAAGTCGTACATAAAAAAAGTGTTTAGATACACGGAAAAAATTAATATTGATGTTTTGTTCCTTTTTTTCGTTCTTATACAAAGATTGTATGCTTATGACATCATATCTCGTTTGAAAGATGGAGCAGTTAAGTGTGATCCAAAAGAACGAAAAAAGAAAATTAATTTTAAGGACGAAATTGGTAACTGATGAATTATATTGAGAGATAAATTGTTTATTCATGTGTACTCTATTGAAATTATTCTACTTAAATAGAAATTATATGAATGAAAAATAATTGAAGAACCACTAGATAAGAATTAGACTGACAGAGAACAGTTTACCTGATATCGATCATAGCTGTCGACGATGCAGTTAAATCGTCGACATACGTTTCTCATTGTGCAGAGAATGGTGAAATCTGACTGATGGTCCAAAATGCGATAGACAAGTTCTACCGGTAACGTAATGAAGTTGATGACAGTTTGATTTGTCATTGTAGATTGTTTGATAAAATGCGTGGTGTCCAGGTTAATATGGTGTTGTTTTTCTTCGCATTCAATGAATACATATTCGTTATGCATCATACACTGCATATAATATTGCAATTATCTATTAGAAAACAAAAAAGTCAAAAACAAGTATGCCACCCTCAGCCACACATTAGATACGTACGTCTATAGTATATAAAGAAATAAAGAAAGCTCACAATAAGTCTCTTAATAAGTATTTCGCAGTTTAATAAACTTTATAATATTAAAATTAGATTATTGACGGATTTTCTGTTATCTGTATTTCATAGGAAAGTTCCATATCGAATCTTACGAAATTTTAAACAAACAGAAAATACACACTTAATACAATAAACGAACAAAACAAATCACGAAAACACTTGTTTTCTGTTTTATCATAGTACAAGTCACAAAAATACACGAATGAAATATTCGTAGCGTAACAACAGAAACAAAAATAGTTTGAAAGAAAAAAAAAAACAATAACAAACAGAAAAAGAAAACTAACAAAACAATAACAACAGAAAAAAAAGAACTTCAATATCTATACATAATCACTTTCTTTGTCAAGAAAAACAACAAAAAGAAAAGACGTTTTAAAAAAAAACTATAAAATCTTTAGACTAGCGAGGAATATCGATCATTGGTACGTGAAAATCCAAAAAAAAAATTCATTGCTCTTATGGAGTTCGAGCATTACGCATTAATGGTTTATGAATCATAGCTGGTGGTATACATTCAGTATTATTATTATTATTATTATTTGTTTGTGTAATTATATGATTCGGATTTAAATCCCAACATGTTGCACAATAATATTTCATACATTTAAGTGAACGACAAAAAAATTGTCCCATATTTGGACACCATTGTCCATTGGCACCTGCACAAGGTACACTATCTGATAGATATGGATCGATTTGAATCTAATGAAAAAAAAATTGATACAAAAGCCATGTAAAATTAAATAGATCATACCACTTTACAAAATTTATCACATTCGATCATTAAATAATTAGCAGTAACAGCAGCATAATAACTATGTGTGTTCACAAATACAACTCGTCCAGAACCTAAATAATGAAAATTGATAATATTTTTAAATGAAAGATGTAAACTTACCAATCGGATATTTATTTCTATCGGTATCAATAGCAGCATATTCCACATCTCCAAATAATTCTTGACATATTCGAGCCAATGCAAAAGCGGTCATCATTCCGTGTAAAGCACCAACAAATACTGTTCGGTTAATACATTCAGTAGAACCAAGTCGTTGTTCCCAACTTCCATATCCACTTGATGTTATATCTCCTTCAGATAACCATTGAGAATCTTCCTAAATTATAAAAAAATATTTTTTTCATTCTCTATTCTTATACTGAATACTCACCACAAACCAAGGAATTATTTGAATCTAGAAGAAAAAAATTGTCTTTTAGTATCTTCAAAAGAGAATTTGTCTTACACTTTTTCTTCGTAAGGTTGTTCGTTGACTAAATACTTCAAGATAATATTCACATCGTCCATCATCTAATGTTCGATCAGTTTTTGTTGAACATGTATGTAATATTTGATGAACAGATTCTTCATTTTCATAAACAGCATAAACAAAACCAGCCATAACTTATATACAGAAAAAAACACATAATAGAATTATAATTAGTAGAAAAAAATTTTCTTTTACTATTTGATGAATTTCTATGCATAGGCATATTATCCATATTAGGCCATTCTAATCTTACTGGTCCAAAACTTTCTAAACGTTCTTGTAAATCTCCTATTAAAATTTTATTGTGAAAAATCTGTGATACAAAAATTATAAATCTTTCTTACTTGGATTAAGATCATGTGGAATACCACCAAGAAAAACCTTACATGATAATGATGGTGGTCGCATAGAAAAAGTTCGTGGTCGAACAGGTAATGGTGATGTCCATATCAAACCCGGTTGAACTTTTCCAAAATGTCCTTTGTTTGAATAAAAGAAAAAATTCTTTGAAATCAATGAATCAAAATTTGTAATATTTACGTGTTGCTTGTCGACGTTCTTGAGCAGCAGCTCGTTTTAAACGACTATCTTTACTATTATTTCCATTAGTCTGATAAGAAACAATTTGCATATACTCATACGATAAAACCACTTACATATCGATCAATAATAGGAATATCTTGATTGGATGATATTGATACTCGACTACATGGTGTATTTCCAATCCCATCAAGCGCTATAGATGATGAACGATGAGATCGAGTTGATAGTGGTCTTGAAAATATGAATATATTCTTTATCAAACAAAAAATTTCCTTTTACCGAAGTAAAGGTGTTGAAGCATTTTGTTGAAATTCATAATTATTATTACAATAAGTAGTTGAATCATTACTTGATGTCATTGGTGTATTATAAAATGAAGGAGCTGATTGATAATGTTGAATTCCTCGATTCGGGGTTTGTATTTGTTGAGTAGATATACTTGAAATATTTTTATTATCATTTCCAGTTTCAATTGCTATTATAAAGAAAAATAAAATGAGATGATAAAACTCCCTATTTAGATATCAAATACTCATAAGAGGTGTAATATATGATGATGATGATGAATAATTATGTACTACTGGACTACCAATTCTTTCTAAATATTCTTGAATTAATATATCAATAGCTGGTTTTCGTGCTTCTTGATTCCATATATGATCTAATAAACAATCAATCGCCGGTTTTTCTATAAAAATAGAATCAACCTTATTTATTCTCTGCATAAAAGATTACAAACCAAATTGATATTCAGGAGAAATCTGAGTATAATAATCCATCCGAACATCATCTTTCTAGATGAAAAAAAACTAATTTTTTTTTAAATTTTCTTTTCATTTTAACTTACAAAGGAATCACGAGATGCTTGAGACATAAATAGAAATAATGTATATATATATATATATATAAATGTGAATGACGGAGACAAAATAAAAGTGTAAATTAACAATGACAAAGTTACTATTTAAATAATATACCCATATGTATGTCGTATATATAAACAGAATGTACAAAAGAGAAAAGAATGCACGCCTTATTTTTGTTTTTACTAAATAAATTTTCTTTTTCTCTTTTCCTAAATAATCCTAGATTAAATCTTTTGCGGTGGAGGGTTAACTGAAAGAATGGAGAGAAATTTATGTCAGAAAATAAATAACGTATGCCATGCAACAGTGAATACTATAATGATAGTAAAATACAATAATGACATCTTCATGAGTGAATTTTAATAATGGCGCTTAAATGAATATTTAAATATATCATAATTTTTCGGTTTAATGTTTAATTCAGTTGATTAACGTTATGAATTTATTGTCATGGCATGTTGTGGTCTATGTCGACCAAAAGTCAAAGCAACAAATAAGATAAATAAAAATATCACATCAAAAAAAATAAATAGAATTTCTATGTGGATTGAAAATATCGATGGCCCATATGAATCAATTATTTTACCATCAAAATCACTTGATGAACCGAAGATAATAACAAATAAAGAAGAAATAAGTGAAAATAATTCGAAATCGAATCGAAATATGCAAAATAGAAAACATAATTTACAATATCTTTCATCAGGATTATCAATAAATGAAGAAATACAATCAGCATTGAGTGATATATGATTATAGTTCTATTTTTATTTAAAATAAAATTTAGTTCACTTTTACTGCACTGTTGATTATAACTATTTGTGATTTTTTCAGAGAGAGAGAAAATAGAAATGTCCTCATTGAAATAATGTTATTATTGTATACAAAGAATTGGCCATTTATGTTGTTATCTATCGACTGACATTTCATACTCATTTCGACGAGGACATTTTTCTTTTTTTTTCTATACCAGTTCATCCACAAGGGTATGTACTCGATAATGCTGTCGATTATTGCCGACGAGCAGTATTCTTTCTTTTACTATCGTGTCTAGATGGACGAGCTCGATTCGTTGTGTCACATGCATTTTTTCACTATTTAATACATTCTTAACGTAATTTTCTACCATATCCAGGTCTTTTTCCATTCGATTTTTCTTATTTTTTCTTCTCCCCTACACATGTATCAACTAAAATAGAGAGAGAATAATAGATCTATATCATGGTTAGTTTTTTGTATTTTCCATTCATTTTGAATTTTTAACGCTTTTATTCGACAAGCACCACCTACATTCATTCTTTCTTTCTCATATAATGTATCATTATTCGGGTAATAGTCATCAAACTTTTATTAAACCACCTTCACCTTTACTTATGGATAATACAAATATTTATTCTCGTGAAACAGCATTTGATCCACTTAATTATGCATTTGATGCTGAAACAATGATCGAACCATTTACATATTTTCAGTAAGTAAAAAAGGAAAAGGTTTCCAAATGTATTTCTATACTATTTTTATTTAATTTAAGTGATGGCCCAGCTGAATCACGTCGTAAATCAATCACATTCTCATCTATTTCTCCGTCATCATTATCATCGAATTTTCCTTGGTCACCTGCAAGTAGTATTTCACCATCGGATGAAACTCCTCCAGGTTATTTTCATCAATTTAATAATGTATTTCAATCAAAATATCCTCAACAACAACAATATCAACATCCAAAAACAATCTGTCGTCATTGTAAAAGTCATAATATGCCCGAATGTTTATATACTTGTATGTTTTTACCTTTTAAATATATATATATCAATATAAATATGTATTCATTTAGCTCATTCAATGTATGATGAAAGTGGTGAAATTTTTTGTCCAGTATTGAAAAAATGTCATTGTGCAACTTGTATTCGAGTTATAAATTCAGCTGGAAGACATGATGATGATTCTGATGATGATAATAATATACGTTATCCTTCTAATGACAATGAATTTAGTCATTTATATGGTATTGATCCTAGACAAAATTCTTATCGTATGAATAACAACAACAATTTTTAAACAAAAGGTAAACTGTATATAAATTATAAAAAAAAAGAAGAGAAACAAAGTTCTACCGTATGTATGCGTGTGTGCCTTGTTATTTGCGTTAAAATATATGTACGAGGGTGTGTGTGTTATTTTCACTCACTTGCGCATTCGTTTGTATATTTAATGTACAGGCAAAATGATGCATGTGATTTTTCTGTTTGTTTGTTTGTTCAATAGGAATAGAAACTGATGTTCAGTTTTCTAAACCTTATTAGTCTTGCTGATTGGTTTTTTTTTCTTGTCTTTTGATTCCTAATTTCTAGGATTTCATTTTCTTTTTTTCTTTTTTTTTCGTATGTGTGTTTTTTGAGATTTCGAGAAAGACATAAGTTTATTCTTTCGTTTCTTTGTGTTTGTGTTTACTGTTATAGTGATTGATGTTCTTAAACATTTTTTTTCTCTTTTTGTTCTCTAGACTTTCAGGACTTTTATAGGTTTTATCAACTATTTAGACATTTATCTCTATGAAATAAATAAAAGAAAACTTTAAAAACATAAAAATTGTCTCATATATTCATTTCGATCACGTTAACCTTCTGGCGGTGTTTGTGGGCTCAAGCGATCCACAACAGTGTTTTTTATACTTTAAAATCTATGCAATTCGAAGCGAGTGGGTCCATTTGGACCCCCTGACAACAGTCGTGTTATATAGATGATTTTAATTCGTATTACGTATGCTCTCTCTTGTTTCGAAGATCTATTTATTAGGTACACTACAAGCGTATCACTGCATCAGTGACTGAAAAGAGATCATGATATAGACCTCGATCTATTTTATACAGTACAATACAGATGAAAAATCACATTTTTCTTATTTATTTACATGTGAGTCCACTTAGACCCGCGTACACCTCCGGAGGGTTAACACGTCGTATACAAATCGAATGACTAATAAATATACGATTTAGGTATCACAGTGCGTGTGTACCTAAAGCAAAAACATATATAAGATCCTCGATGAATGTAACACGTACATATAGACAGGGTTGAATATGTGAATAAACGAAGGAGAGAAGAATAGAAAGTCATGTACCAACTGCTGCCATTGGTTATTTTATATCGAATAACAAATACCTCGAAAAGCGTCTTTACATTTTCATTCCTTCTTATGCAAAATGAATATATATTTTCAACTATAAAAATACAAATTACATTCATATAAAATCATTACATATAACTTTTATAAAGACGATGAACTGAAAGAGGTTGTGGTGTATTTAATGATACAATTGTTGGCGTTGATAATACTAATGATGGTAAACTTTGTGAAGATATTGTTGAATAAATAGGATTTGAGCAAGTTTCACGTATACATATATCTGATTTAACAGGAAACATATGTTGTTGTTGAGTTTTTTTATTCGTAGATAATTTTTTATTATTTGTTTTGTACATAATATTATTCGTATATGTATGGGGAAACATATGTTTAATTGATGAATCTTGTGTTTTACGACAATGACTAGGGTAAAATCGTCCTCGTTTTATTTTCCTCGTTGATTTTGTTAAAAGAATAATAATTAATATTAATAATACGAATACAACAAATGACATCGGAATAATAATATAAAGTAAAAGATTTCGTTTTGTATGTTCACCTATATTTCGATTAATTAATGATGAATGATTATTCATATATGAAGTATGTATACTATTTTCCGAAGGACATTGATGTTGAATAGATTTACTAAATAATAAAACGAAAATTAATTTCTATTAAATATATAAATAATAAATCTATACTCTATTGAAATTATTTTTTGTATCGAACAATCTTTCAACCAACAATCAAAACAAAGTTTTGTATTATTTTCTTTACATATATTTAATTTCAATATTAAATATCCCACATGATTTGTTATGATAATTGCATATGAATGATTATGACTAAATTTTTTATGTGTAATCGATTTAATAGAATAACGCATATTTAACGGTAATGTTAATTCTTCGAATATATTTGTTTTAAATGTATGATCAGTAAATGCTGTAAATAAATGACCATTACCTAGAAGAAAAATATAGTAAATAGAACAATAGAGTTTTTTTATTATTTTACTTGTTCCAATAATTAAACAATATCTGTCAAGTTCATATTGAATGGCATTAATTGCTGTAAATATATGATTTGACATTGTTTCGATGAATAATGGATTAGATAAGTAAGGTAAGAATTGTCTTTCGGATTCTACCATATCTCGATCAATTGTTGATGGTACTGATTCAGAACAATTAAAAATTAATTCATTCATTTCATTTGTTCGAGTATTTTTAACGGATGAACCAGTGAATATATCATAAAATTGTTTATTAAGAATAAATAAACAGACAGCTGATGCAGTTATAGATGAACTAATAATTTATTGAATGATAATTAAAATTTAGTAAATAAAATATTCATACTTATTTGTAGTAAATGTAGCAAAAAGTAATACGGATCCATTTTTTGTACGAATCGGATCGATTAAAGCAGCTAAAAACAAATGGATGATATATTTCTATAAATTTCAATTTGCATTATTACTTAAAATATGAAAAACAAATGATCGTGATGGATCAAACATATCTGTTGAACAATTAAGAGTCGCTTTACGGATAATTTCAGCACGATTCGCACATGCCATCACTAATCGAGATACACGATTCTTAGAAAAGAAAAATCAATTATAAATTATCGATCAAAATTTTAAAGAATTACTGTTTCAATTCGATCGGATGTTTCTAAAACACCAAAAACTGCTTTCCCATCATATTTAAATCCACCAATAAAATAGGAATCTATAAATAGATACGTTATATAAATTAAACTTATTATTATTCGATTTTACTTTGTCTTAATGCATAAAGTAATGTTTTTCCTTGTGTAGCACGTATTGTTGGAATATAATCACCTTGATAACCAGCGGTTACTATACTTGTATTAAAAGTTAGCATAACATATGAACGATCAGAATCCATAGGTGGATGTGGATCACGTATCAAAGTATCTTCTTTCGTAAATGATAATGAATGAAGATCAAATGAACGAACCATTGGTCGATGAGCATATGTACAATAAACATCCATTATTGTACTATTAGGTAAAATTCGAACGTGTACAATATCATTATAACATTTTTCCTTAGTATTCCATTCTTGAAGACATTCTTCCATTGTTGTTGCATCAATAGGCCAATTATAAGAAAATAATTGTACTAAAGAATTATTTAAATCAGGTTTTAATATATAAAGTGTATCACGTGCACCATATATAGCATAAGAATTATACCACATGAAAAACTTCATGTCCGATGAAATTCGAGGAATTTTTGTATCTAAATAATATTTTAATTTAAATGAAGAAAAAAAAGAAATTTATCTTACTCGTATCATAAGATAATTGATTAGTAAATTTTAATGTTTTATGCCAACTATAACATGGAATACAGGATAGTATTATTATGAATAGCGAGATCACACCATTACAGTTCATACTTCATTTGAATAGGGTATGTGGTAATTTTTTGTCAACAATATTCCATTACCTATATCAAAGAATATAAGATAAAATGATCAATGTTTTGTTTATTCGAATTGAAGTGTATAGACAAGTGTGTATATGTATAATCATACAAATATTCGCTAAGGAATAAGGTGCCGTTTATCGTCATCTTTACACTCAAGTGTTCATATATTCCTTTTCTCTCATTGATATGCATATGATATCAATGAGACGAGACTGTATGTATAGAAAGAAAGCATAATATAAAGAACGCGCATTACTTCGTCAAGAAAAGAAGAAAAAGAACTGGTATATATGTATAGATTGTACTCGTCAATGGTCATGCTCAATAAACTTAGCCTATTGTCTAGTGATGTTTTATCATTTTGTTATGAAGAATATGGTGTCTTCTATGTGAATCGATCAAATATAGATATGATTTATGACTAGTTTTATTTAGTCAATTGACTAGGTAATATGAAAGAGACCAGATGGAAGTGAATGACTTGTCTATAGATTTTATTGATTCTATTGTCAGTTTCTTTTTGTGTCCGTCTATTCGTCTTTTCCGATGTTAAGTATAAGATAATCCTATATGTTGTCAGACATCTAACACTAGTCAATTCTATATTGAATACTAATTTTTATAATTGATGTTTAAGTATATACTTGCGGAGTTAAAATTGATTTATCTCAAGATAACGATCCATGAAATTAATGATGTAATCAAATGAAATAAAAAATAATTTCAACAGTCATTAAGATTGATCTAAGTCATATGTCTTTAGTATGACATCATGACATTGAAGAGAATATATCTGTATGAAGAAGAAGAAGAAGAAAAAAAAAAATGTCTAGCAAGATGATTCGAAAGTGTTTTATCATCTTTTTTTTGCTTCTTCTTCTTATCAATCTCGAGGAAAAAAAAACTAATAATAAAATGATGTAACTTATTAATTTTAAATTCATCACGACTATCTAATAGAATACCTACTTGCTTGATTTCACTTTTTTTTCTCTTCTTCTTCTCTTCTGTTCTATTGTTATCATAACATACGATGATGTCTTCTCTTTCGAATGACCGAGCATCATCATGGAAATATATACGTATTATATACACATACATGCACACACATCGGCACGTCATCTATCTATCAGATCTAATCCGACAAGCAGCATTGCACAATAGATCGCATCAAGAAGAAGAACAAAAAGAGAGAGAGAGACGAAAAAGACCGCATTTATGTTAAATTAAGAATGAGTTTCTATCAACGACTTATCTGGACAATTAGTTTCTACTGTATATAAAATGTCTGTTCGATAGACCATAGTCAATGGTCATGTCACATTGACAGTCGGTTTACGTATATGTGCGTTAAAGCGTATATTCTTTCCGTTTGCTAACTGAACATTTGAGTTATATTGTATTCAAAGAAGACGTCAGGAAGGAAGAAGGAAGGAACGGACTGTCACCATCAATGATTTTGAATGATGTAATATATAACAATTCTTTCACACCTTGTTTAATTACAAATATACACATCACGTTAAGTTATTTATTAAGAAAGTATTAGTCAATAAAATCAAATTATTTTTTTTTATCCGGAAATAATTCTTAATCCGGTTTAATCCAATCAAAAAAGAAAAAGAAGATTTTTTAATATTCTAAGATACATTCATCAATATAAACGGCATCATTTTGACCTTTATCGGACGATTGATTGAGTGGTATTCGATGATTTATTTAATGGAATAAGCTCATCGATATTCTTTCATATGGTAAAAAATAATTACAGATAAACATTGACTATTCATACTATACGTAGCCTTTAGACTATAAAGTATATGTTGATATTTGAGCACAGATATATATTCTATAGATCAATCAATCAATCATTTTATCTGAGAAAATTTCTAAATCTTAATCGTTTATCGAATCACTTTTTTTTCAATATAAACGAGAAGATCATGTTTGTCTAAGTAATTGATAAGATTTTATCTTGGATTCACTATCAGAAGTCAAGAACAAATGATTTTTTTTATCTACTAAGGTCAATTTCATTTATATTACATCATAGTTAAATCATCTACTTGATGTATCTTTTCAAAATTTCAATTCCAGAGAAAAATGATGTCTATATAACATAACGCTTCACTAAATGAGGAGCAAACAAGTGATTATTTCGTTCTCATAAAAAAAAATACGAGGATAAATAAAAAAAGGTATGCCGTGACCCGGGATCGAACCAGGGACCTTCAGATCTTCAGTCTGACGCTCTCCCAACTGAGCTATCCCGGCGAATTAATTACTTTACACATCAATAAGCGAAGGATTTTAATCGATTTAATCTGTGTTGTAATACATACTGCGTTTCTGAACGTCGTTTTTATAAAATAATATTTTTAAAATAAATGTCAGCGAGTCATATAATCTACTTCTTTTAGTTCAAATCTTAGGATAATGAATATGTTGTTTTTCTTTGTCGATACGACTAATTCAATCGAATTTTATATTAATTTATTAATGAAAAAATTCTTTGCAATGTTTGATAACTATTTTGATAATCTTTCGTATCAAAAGGGACTTTTCCATTTTGTAACATCTTTATATCGAACTGAGTCATATTATACAAATGGTTTTTATTATAGAGAAAGAAAGATGCTTCATTATTCAAATGAAACTTAGATAAAATCATTGTTTGTCTACTTTTTTTGTTATATTAAATCAAACGGTCATCTGAGAGGATGACTCATATGTAACTCGTTAGAAAGAATTTTTTTGCTATATTTTCACAAGTAGATAAAAAGCAATAGAAGTTGTTGAGAATTAAATGTGAGACTTCCAGTAGTGGACTATTTGAGAAGTCGATCGGGAAATTGTTCCACTTTGAGAAGAAATGGAAACAACGAAAACGACATATATTTACTGCCTTATTCGATACTATATGGATATTCCATATAACGAGACATCCTTTTTTTCAAAGAGAAATGGTATAAACATGAAAATATATGCATTCAATATCTAATTTAATACAGTATGGATATTTTCATTTACAGAAAAGTCTTTTTTCATCTCACCACCCACACCTACACCCACCCTCACGCATCCACCCACAGTCACTGACAGTCTGATAACATTGATAAATTATCACAGAAAAAGCAGGTTTTTTCCAACATACTGATATTTTCTTACCACTTTCTTTTCTCTTTTAACTCACTATTTAATTTAGATAACAATGAAATATTTGCTCTTCTCATTCTGTTTTCATAGAGTTATCATAGTGTGCGCACGTCATTTCGAAGCACAAAGAGAATATATCGTTTAGATGCGTTTAATAGAATAGATGTATTTAACATAATGGCAGAACCATCTTGAGGGTGTCAATGTGGGTGTTGTACTCTTCTCATATTCACATCCACACCTTCTTATCAGGAATACATAGCTTCTTGCAGATTTTCTGATATGAATTTCTCCTTTCTTTGCTTTTTATTCATCCGACTATCTTTGCTACTTATTCTTCATAACAAACGACAAAGATGTAACAAATTTTTTTAACATACTATAGTCAGTTGTTTAGTTATAGAGACACTTGATGGCGAGCACGACATCATCACCACTAGTTATCGTTGTATCCGGTGGTGGACCGGTTGGACTTACCTTTTCACTTAATATCGCCGCAATGATGGGTAAACATGTCAAAATTATTATTTATGAAGGTCGATGGTTTGTTGATGAACATGGTATTACCCGTTGGCAAGATGAACAACAAGGTAAAACTCGTCGTGACCAAGTTGTTACGTTACAAGATCATGTTATGGAACAAGTGCCTACTTTTTTTCAAGAAGGCTTGTTCCAAAAGATAAATGAACGTGTATGGCCAACATCAAGAAACATACCAATAAGAGAAGTTGAAGATCGACTGTTTGATCTAATTCAACCGTTTGTTCAAAATGGTCAAGTGGAATTAATTCCAGAACAATTAAATGAACAATCTAAACATTTGATCGAAGGTAAATAGACGTTGTTTTTTCTTGTTATTTTAAAGATGTACTCAATTAAACATTTGTATAGGTGATTTTGATTTATTAGTTGGTGCTGATGGATCGAATTCGTTTGTTCGTCGTTACTGCAATATTCAAACGATCAGTGAAGGCATCGAATATGCATGTGGTGTAGCATATAATATACCTCAAAATATACCACCATCAGATGAACCTCTTCATCAAGCACTTAATTGTATATTAACAATTTCACAGACACGTTATTTAGTGAACTCGTCAACGAGCCGTCGAGGTTATCTCAATATTCGTTTAGTTCAAAATGAATATAAAGAATTACGTAAATGTCTACAAAAATTTCAAGATTGTAATGAGTCATTAGATTTACTAGATTATAATAAATGTCCACATTCACCTGTATGGTCAATTGTTCGACAAGGATTAGAGTTTTTTAAAATATCTGCAAAATATGTTACTCGTATTGTACCAATCGAGATTAATGTTCGACATGCATCAATTGTTGTTCGAGAACTTCGTTTTGAAGTTAACAAAACACAACCGACGACATCGACATCGAATGTAGGTGGCAGTAAGAAAAAACAATTTAAGACAATGTTAGCATGTCTTGCTGGTGATGCGGCAATGAATGTACATTTCTGGCCCGGTCGAGGTATGAACAGTGGAATGAAAGCAGCTATGGCACTTGCTCGAAATATCCTCCGTGCGTGTACATCTAAAACATCTCCTCATTCAATCGAAGTTCGTACTCCACTTCGACTTCTCGATTTTCTCGACTATGAAGGTTTCATGGCTCGTCTTAGGTTACGTGAGCAACAAGGTCGTTCATTGCCTATTCTCATGGATTCGATCGATGCCAGTGTTGGAGAAGCTTATACCTATGCTCATTTGAATCATTGTTATGATAGATACACAAAGAAATTGAATGAAAAGTTGAAAGAGACAAGATCACGTTTTGATCAACGATCCGATTGGCCTCATCTAACAAGGCCAGTAACAGATGAAGAATTACAGGCTGCCTGTAATCGAATTTCTCATAATGCTGTCGCTCAACTTTCATTAGCTAATCCATGGCCAACACGAGAGATGAGTGGTATTGAAGTCCTCGTCGAGGACACTTTTCCATTCAATCTGCAACAGTTTTTACCTGAACCAACAATAGGGGAAGTTACTTCAGATCGCCCACCAAGCACTATCATTCGACATCGCTTTCTCATCTTATGGATCGTTAGTGACATGATGAGTGAAAATATAAAAAAAATTATTGAATCAATTCAAACTTCTCCCAATTTCGCCGATCCATCAAAAACAACAGCAGTAATAACAACAAATCAGGCGCAGAATTCATCTGTGGAAAGTTTTCATGAGCTACATGTAGTTTGCACTATCGAAGAAGCTCAAAACTGGATAGTGGACAATCGTAAACGTTTAGAAACGCCTGGCACTCTCTTCAAAGTAATTACTACATGGTCACTTAACGAAGGAAAAACGGCAGTAGATGTAATTCAAGCAGTTCGTGCGGGTGCATCACGTGTTCCCTTATTAATTTTTACAAATACACCTGAAGAAACACAGCCAGCACTTCAATTTCCAAATGTTATTGCTACTTATCTAGTATATGACTTGTATGAATTTGTCGGGATTAACCAAGAGACACAGTGGGATCCAGGCTGCACTGTATTATCAGGTATGTGTCTAATTGCGATAGCATGAGAACGTCGAAAGGCAAAACTAGTGGCGAAGCTAAGGTGTTGGATGTGGGTGAGGAAGAGACTCTCACTCACCCACATCGACACCCACATCCACACCCTCAAGAGGTAAGCTTTAATAATGATAACTTTTTATGAAAGAATAAAATCTTTTGACTGCTCTTATTATTAAATAAGAACATCGAAATTAATCCGGATATATGAGTTGTGCAAAAAAAAGTATGCCTTTACCAAAACCATATCGTAGGGTAAGAGCGACGAAAATATCAAAAACTTTTACAATAAATTACTTTTATGAAGACCGGTCTCTATACAAAGTTTCATATTGAAATTCAAAACTCAGTTTTTCCGTTGTTCTTGGTGAGGCTACGATATTGTGTAACAAAATTCGTAAAAATGTATTATCTCATTAGCAATAAGCTGATACCATGGTCTCTTGTCAGGCTATTTATAGCTCATCAGAAGCTACATAATGAACATAGCTTCGACTCAAAAGTACTTCATTAGTTAGCGACCTTGTGTCGTGAGTGTACCGGAATAATGAGCGCTGCTTATAGCTTATGATTAACCTACCTGTTGTTTATCAACTGTTTTCAGCAATGGCCTCATCATCTTCGCGACAACGATACGGTATAATCATTCTGGGCAACTCGGGCGTAGGGAAAAGCTTCCTAGCCAATATTTTACTCGGTCGAGAAGCATTCGATCATCGAATTTCTCCTGACGCAGTGACAACCGATACAGTATTTGAAGAGATCACCATGTACAACACAAACTACGCTATTTTCAACATTCCAGGCCTTATTGAAGCTAATCAAGAGCGCATTGAAAAGAACAAGTGCCAAATTGACAAAGCCTTCCTTGAGTGCCCAACATCACTCATTTTCTACGTATTTGGACAGCAAAATGGTCGGATTCGAGATGAGGACGTTGTCGCTTTCAATGCACTTAATAAGGCCTATCCAATCAATCTCAAATCACTCGTGCTCATTGTCAACGGACTAGCAAAAGACCGACCCAAAAACTATGAAGGCGCAGTCACTGTGTTACTAGAAGAGCTTATCAAAGTACCGTGCCAGAACCTATGTGTTCTCGATATGATAGATAAGAACAATCAACGTGAGAAAGAAAACTTAAAGAGCAAACTACTTCAAGTCATGGTCGAACGAATGCCGAATCATCACATCAAGGAGAATGATATTGAGCTACAAAAAGAAGAGGTTCGCAAAGCAAAAGCAGAAATCAAGACGTTACAAGAGGATTTTAAGAATAACAAAGAAATTTACGAAAATAAAATCAAAGAACAACAAAGAATGTACGACGAAAATTTTGCTCAAATCAGCAAAGATAATGAGGAGATGCGACGCCTTGTCGAACTATCAGCGAGAGAGCAAGCTCAACGAGCGCGTAAGTCCATCCCAATGATTACAGAAAAGCTATTTTCTCAAGATTTTTTTCGTTCGGGCAGACAGCAGAGATGAGAAAGTCTGGAGAGGAAAATCGTGTAGTTCACCACATATATTTAAGACTATTGCTCAAATAATAGTTTTATTCATTCTAGTTATAATTTTCTTGATTAGCACACTCGAACTAATATCCTACATCCATGTTTTCAGACAAAAATGGAAAAAAATTGAATCCTTGAAAAGTACCTCAGGTCAAAAATCTCGACTTCATGCATGACAAACTCGACCTGTGGAATGTGGCTAAAGATGGGTGGATGTAGGTATGGATGTTTATTCTATATTCCACGCCTTCACAAACACACCCCCATCCTCATTCTTTATTAGTTTAAAATTCTCATAATTAAAAACTATTGATAGTTGTCAGCTTTCGAAATACCTTAAACTCCACAATGCTGAAAATTCCTGAGACCAGTTATCCCAAAAGTTTCCATTGTTGTACAGCAAGAACTCTTTGCTCAATTTTAGAAAATTCGAATGTCTCTAAGATTCTAAATTCGCAAATCTACGGCATGCAAAATTGAGAAAATGTGGACAGCTATTTAATATCGACTTTTGAATGACTCCAACTATCCGTATTCTTCAACACTTTCCTTAAAGTATTTCTTTATAAACGAGAATGGTTTTCCCATTAACTGGTCCTATGTTGTTCTACTGAGATATTTTCAAGTTTACCACGGTTTTCTGAACAGGTTTCTTATAAAACCATCATTTGTGTCCTGCATGATTTTGTGACTGCCTAATCGTTTGATTTAGAACCTGAAGAATTTGCTGCACTGGACACATGTATAGAACTTGATTGTAAAGGTTGCCCTTGTGCCAAGTGTCACAAGTGTCGTGATTGGCATTTTACTGGTGATCAAGGCACGTGGGACTGGGTCTGCAATTACAAAAATTGGAAAAAGGTGGATGAGGATCGCTGGTACAATGGTGACTATACGCTTTTTACGAAACGTGATGGCGCAACCTGTTCCGGTTATTTTGGTCCTTTTTATGGTTTCTATCGTCTTGTGTGTTATTATTATCGTGATGGTGGTCTTTATTTTTCTCATTTTCTTGATGGTCATGTATGTCTCTGTGAGAAGCACTAACCTTCTTTATCCGAGTCATGAAACGGCTTTTCCCCAAGATTCTTTTATGTTGTATCAAGATTGATAATTAAATAAAAATCGAAGAGGAAAAATAAGTAGAACCAACCTGCAGTGAGGGGTAGACCGAATGCGAGTAGTCGCTTGGGAAGGGACCGAAGGCTCCCGACCTTAAGACTGCGAGCGTAGGCAAATGCTCACAACAGATGTTGCTAGTGTACGGAGTAGTTCTAGTTAATAATGATTGAAAAATTGATAAATTAATGTGTAACAGTACGTAAAACTAGTTTAATTAATTTTAACATGTTGAATTCTATAAAGTAGTATACGATACGATGATAAAAAATAAAAATGAAAAAGCGAATGAGATATTTTACTTAACGGAAAATCTCTCGAACCAATGAAAACTGTGATTCATGTTTGCGGGGTGTGGGTGTGGGTGTGGGCGGACGCGACTATTGCTATGGCTGTGGGTGAGCAATAAGAAGATAGTTACCCGAACCTAGACCCACTCACACCTTCAAGATTCATAGGATCATATTAAATACAAACATAATTTCTTGTGTATAAAATAGTTCAATATATAGAGAAAAGGTTTGAAAACGTAATGATGAAATTAATGATAATCAAATAACCTTTGTATTTGCAAGATCTTACTCTCTTTCTACATCTTTAAAATATTCATTCTGAAGTTATTATATGACAATATTTCATCACAATCACAATACGATCAAAAGTCTCTTCAGAAATATATAGTTGATAGTGAGGTGTTTTATTATTGATTAACTGTATTGGAGCTGACGCATATTCAATAACAGATACACTAACGGCTCATGCTAAGAGTGTGAGTGACAGAGATTTTCATCAAGGTTGAAAATCTGTCGTTGCTGCGCCGGCATGACTTATAAACATCGTGACCGCATTGCTGCCGCAACGGTTTCTAAGAAAATAATTCGAATTTTACTGTTACAATTGCTTTGTATCGGAAATATTGAGGATAATCTATCAGGTTAATTCAGTTTCACAATGTTTTAGTTTTGAACACTAAAGTTTTATTAAATTTAGTTTTTCTTCAATATTTGTGAAAAAAACTAGTAGTGCTACCGCGTCGCGATGACTTTTGAAAAAACTTGAGCGTGTGAGTATGGGTGTAGAAGAGATACCACACCCGTTCTCAAGATATTTTGTTATTGCAGAACAGAAAGAGAGAATGCATATTTTTTAAGTTTTTTTGTATAATGAAACGTTATCTCGGACGTGTATATGAAAGTTTGTTCTTATCTTTTACAAACAGAGAAAAAACCCATTTAAGATGAATATTATTATTATTATCAGTTGGAAAGAAAATAAAGAGTTCTTACCAACTTAGACTTTATTTTGTTTGCCGCTTTTTCAACATCGATATAATAAAAACTTCATTCAACTTTGCCTATAATTCGCGAATGATGTATCTTCTACACTTCGCTGAGAAAAATCGTTAGGGACACATACATGAGAGAGGCACAATAATAATTGTTTTGCGATCAACTAGAGTTACTATGTATGAATTTCCTAATCCTTTTTCACAGCCATTCTCTTGTCGTTTTCAAGAGTGTAAACGAAGGAGCAAATGTGTTTCCTCTCTTCATTGTCACACATACGCAGACATCACACCCACACCCACACATTCACTCTCACACTACCCACATTGCAGACTGAGAATTCATAGGATCCTGAAACGTAGCATTCACTAGAAGTCCTTTAATCCGAGCTTTTTTGTTTTGAAACACGTGCAAATAAGACTACTATATATTATTAAATTCGTTTCATCTCACTAGTGACGTAAACATGAAGATTCGCATTATAACGCGCACCGGACTCGGTCGAGAGTATGATTTTGATGTCGACCCTTCCATCATCATTCAAGAGCTGAAGAAACGTGCGGGCGAAAAAGCTGGTTATTCTGACTTGGAAAAGCTGTGGCTTGTCTTTGATAGAGAAGTACTATACGATGAAGCTACATTAGAAGATTACGACGTACAAGCAGATTCGGTACTGGAATTAGTCGATCATACACAACGTTACCGCAGTTTGGGTGGTTTGATTGGATTAAAATTTGTCGATGTTAGTGATAACCAAGCATTGAAACGAACCGCATGGTCTAAAACAGCTCCACGATGGCGACGGACTAGACATGGTCTATCTCTTGAAGGTCTATGCCCAAACAAGAAGTGCGAAGCTTATAATTCTACAGTTATTATGCCCGTTGGTTATAAGAAAGTCGATATGTTGGACGACGATTCACTCGAAAAGTTAACTAAATGTCCCGTATGTAAGGAATATGTCACTGCAGTAACATGTGGTTTCAATAATTGTTGGTGGAGATACGACGGAGTACAAAGTTGCAAAGATCGTCCGTCAAAGCGATGTTCAAGTGATTGGAGAGAAGCTGATGATGCGTATCATCGTTTTAATGAATATCAAGATGAAACGGTTTCGTGGAAAAAGTTAACATTGGAAGCGTCTAAAACAGGACCAGCTGAAATATTGGAAAAAACACCGAAGAATTCGTCGAAAACTGCATTGGATATTGTACCGACGAATGTACAAACAATGCAAACAGCCTCCCGACCGCCTGCAGGTCAGTTTGAATATTTTCATCTCAGTTACAGAGCAGTAGTCAAATGCGCCATTATTATCATGTCGGGTGTGGGTGTAGTTGATTGTTCTTTGATTACCCACACTCACGCTCTCAAAATGATTTTTTATTTATATGACAGAGATTATCTTATTATTTTTGCTTCTAGTCGATGTTGCAGCTACACCACCAAAAAAATGATCGTTATTCATCCGGAAATGATGAAACTGAGGTCGAGCGGTTTGCACAACCAGACAAGCATTGGTGTCCGTGGAAATCGGGTAGTTGTTCGAACACTCTTAAAATTAAAGGTCAAGGTACTGTGGAAATCATGCAACGGAAATCAGTGCCGTTCGAACTACAGTTATCGAACAAAAAAGATGCTTATGACCGAAATGCCTATTCAATCAAAATTTCAGTGAATCAAAATGAGGTTAAATTAAGTACAAGTACTGGACAGTCATATACTTCGACTGACACCATGTATACACTTCAACCTGAAGGTGAATATTGGCATAGATATTGGATTAGTCTATTTTCAACTGCTCGCAATGTTAAATATGGCATAGGAGAAGTTCGTCCATTCTTTTCTGTTTTCGATATTGAACTTCCGGAAAATGAATCACAATTAATGAAAGAAATCTATTATTTGCATTTTAAAGTGGATAACAATGATCAAATGCTGACGGAATTAAAGAATTTAAAAGAAGAC